ATACGAAACTATTGTAAAATGCAGAAAAAAAAACAATATTTCCACTCAATTTTGTAGATAGATTTTCTCCGAACCAAATATAGTAACCCCATATTTTTATTCCATTTTCTTCAATCTTCTTGCCATGAAATATCAAATATGTAAAAACGAAGAAAATTAAATTATTTTTACTTTTGTGTGGCGTTCTACAAGTAGACGGTGTTTAGTTTCAGAGTGGACCATCACCCAATACTCGTCGTTTGTTTTACTATACTAGGTCACGGTAAAATTTAAAGCTGTGTATACTATGTGTTTCAGGACGTTCACATTATAACTATACTTCTTGCAGACACTTGAATTATCGCATTACAACACATGTAGTGTCGTTGGCAACAGTGGTATACTTCTAGGCAGTGGTTGTGGGAATGCTATTGACCATGCGCAGTTCGTTTTTAGGTACGCATATCTAATTATATCGATGTCGCGTCTGATTACAATATCGCGCGCAGCCAGCTATTGAAACGCCACATTTATATTCTGTGTGTGTGTGCGACTCGTCAACATTCATTTACCCGCATTTTTATGAATAGTTTAACAAGAAGTCCATCATTATTTGTTCAATTTAAGAAATCCACGAAAAAATGCACCAAAAGCATTTCTCAATGTTCCAACTTATGTACACTTATACAACAATGATAAATATTAATTGTGTTTATGTTTCATTACAGGTGTAACCTAGCCCCAATTACACCATATATTAAAGATGCAGGGCGGAAAAGCAGTTTGACAACACTAAATAAATCAATTCTAGATAAAAGGTAGGTATCATAAACTAAAATTTCCGTCGCTGTAAGATCGCGCACAATGCGCGAAAGACGTGGATCGAAAGCTTGCCAATGAATCGAAAGATTTGTTTTGAACTTGAATTACTCTTTTTTTTTTAAATTAATGAAATTCCTAATTTTCAGAGATTGATTGGCATCATCAAATGTATATAGCTTATTATTTATCGTAGAAATTTCTTCCAAATCAGTTTCGCGGTTGTCAAATCCCACGCCACGGGAATTTATGACCTTTGTTTGAACTGTTTTTAAGTTTCACGCATAACGCGGGATCACGCAGTGAACAGAAAATGTTCTTTTGGCCGAGGCGGAGGCTAATTTCAAGAGTAGAAATTTGATTTGCTGAGAGCGAGAACGGTCACGTGACTTATTCCTGCCCGTCGGAGACCTATTAATCTGCCGTTGGTGATATGGGAATGTGACCCGGGTGCCTATTCGACTACAACAAGAAATACAGATTGAAGGGTGTCAAAACTGACTGTTCAATGTTCAGCGGACCAAATGTATCGTGTATTTTTGACATTTGCCATGTCGCAAAATTGTCTGAATCAAATATTGCAATGAAATACTACAATTAGGGGAAAATGTCCCACTCGCATCGATCGGGGACAGTAAAGGGTGCGCGCTGGTGTAGCAGCTTCTTCTTGAACTCTTAATAGTTGTGCATCCTGTGATTTGTTTTTTTACTTTTAACTACTCGCATCTTGTTTATGAATCTCCACGGAACTCGAGTGTCAAGTTAGCAGTTTCTAGCATCAAAACTGACTTCGAATTTAATGAAAAGGGAATTGTTTTCCTGTTACAACAGTGAAGTGATATTTATACAACTACCTACTTTTTATTCATGGTCTATTGTCCATTGAAGTGCTAAAATAACTTAAATTATTCATGAGCTAATTTCCCCGCTCATCAATGAAAAATACAATACAGCTAGCCTGTTCTTCACCTGTTCAACACTTCATATATTTCAAGAAATCAGTAAAATCACTAAACCTACAATCGAAACAAGCTACACACAGAGGCACTCGAGCTGGCATCATTAAAACTACCTTTAAACCAAAGTCATCTAAATGCACAAATCGTCAGTGTCAGCTGTTACTCACCACATGTTCGATCAGTTAGCAACAAATCATCAGACATTGAAGATTAAATTAGAGAAAAAAAATATTGATATACGGACACTATCAGAAACCTGGTTGAAAGATGTGGGAGATGAACACATAATTGCAGAATGCACTCTATTTGGATACACTTTTAAACACACACCATGTACAGATTCAGCTCGTGGAGGTGTAGCCATTATTCATAAATCATCTCTAAATTTAATAGCCTAAAACATTATGTAATGTAAAATTTGAAGCCACAGTAGCTACACCTTCCCATCATGGAGTAACCTTCAAGCTCATCATCCTTTATCGTCTACCTCCAACCGTAAAGAATAAATTTACAGTCTCTCAGTTTTGTTTTCACACTTGAGAAATACGTTGGATATACATGTCACCTCTACAATGCAGGAGACTTCAATATTCATGTGGATGATCCACACGATTCATCTGCTCAAAAATTCAAAAATATTATTGAAAATTGGAATCTTAAGCAATGGGTAGAACATCCAACGCACACCAGGGGTCATACACTGAATGACCATTTTCCAGTTCACACCAACTTAGCATTCTACAAACGAACTCTTATTAAGCATCAATTATTATATCATCATATTGCATCCATATCAGTTGAAGATTTTACTGGAGATTTAGACATACTTATATCTGGTCTTCACCAACCCGTATATGACTTGCAGACTGCCATTTCATCATATAGATCAGTGATATCTAATCTTCTTGAAAAGCATGCTCCATTAAAGAAACGTTTATCACTGTTCGACCAGACGCTAAATGGGACACTACCGAGATCAAGGAGGCAAAGAAAAAACATAGATTGGCAGAAACCAAATGGCAAAATACCAAACTCGAAGTTCACCACCAAATCTTCAAAGCAGAAGGCAAAAATGTTAGAAATCACATCCGGAAATACTAGTATAGGAGTGCTTACTACACAAATCTAATGGAAGAAAATGCTGACGACCAACGAGCGTTATTAAACATTTATTCGACACTATCTGGTACATCACTCCAGAAAAACCTATCACCTGCCTCCAAGTCACCCCAGGATCTTGCTGAACAGTTTGGCTATTACTTCATCGACAAAATCTAACACATTCGCGTTGCACTGAATTCAACAATTTTTGCAAACAATAACCATAACATTATCATCAATCCCAGTTCTTCTTTTGAAGCATTTCACACAACAAACGCTAAAGAGGTTTGCAATATAATTGTCAAATCACCATCTAAAACATGCACCATCAACCCAATGGACCATTTTCCGATCACTTTGAGAATCACGCGTTTTGCGTGAAATGGAACGTAAAAACAGAACAAACAAAGGTCATAGCGTCGTAGTGGCGTCAAACATCGCGTGGGATTCGACAAACGCGAAAATATTTATATTTGGGGTGGGGCGTTTCCATGCTTAATAATGTGCTGTACACATTTGGTGATAGACAACTCGATTGAGTGAGGGTATTCGAAAGCAACATTCTTCTGTCGAAGATTGGCCGGACGATGTGAGCTACGAAATGAAGAAATTAGAGTTCAAAATCAAATCGTTCGTTTTTTTGGCAGACGTTCGACGCGCGTCTTTTATGCATCTCGCGAGATCTCGCAGTTGAACGGAAAATCACCTATTCCAACTTCTCTCTTGAATAAACGTATAAAGACACTTGCACATCCTATTTCTGACTTCATCAATGCTTCGCTTTAGTACCGGACTCTCTCAAATCTGTTTTTTTGTTATTCCAATAGCGAAGAAACCATCACTTAACTGCAATGACTTCAAAAATTACAGACCTATGACAAACATGCCATTCTTTTTCAAAATTCTTCAGAAGGTGGTAACACTCCAATTGAACACATACTCGTCTGATCACTCACTGCTTGAACCACTGCAATCTGCGTACAGA